CTCAGCAACCCAAATATCATTTCACCAATTAAGAATACTTACTCCCCAGGATGTCTTTATGCTGGCTCACTCCTCGCTCCAAACAGCGTTAATTCTGATGATCTTGCTTCTGTTCCATCTACAAGGTGACTGTAACATTTATCATTCAAGTCAGGGCATCTGTGTGAGCACATGGGGATACTACTGATAATTACCTTGAGACAACAGATAAAAACCAGAACAGTCCTGAGCAAGCCAGGATATGTGGGCACATGACCACTATATAAATCTTCAGAAAAATCACATTTTCAGGTGTTGAGTAAGTAGCGATCATATTTCCTCCTCAAGAGTGGGCTTGGAGGAGTCATTCCCTTTTAGAGAAGAAGGCATCACTCTTGCCTTGCTCCCTCACAGCTCATACTAGTATCACTGTGGAACTTGGCTATTTCCAAGCCCACTCTCTGCTATACTTACCTGGTAGATACAATCAGGAGGAAGTGATCCAAGAACTAGATGTCACTTTCTTACAAAAAAGACACCTGTTTAGAAGATGTAATACCTTTTCTTCACAAATTATAGCAGATCATTCACTAGCCTTTGTTACTCTGAAGAAATAATCGTAGGCTTCCTGTTGGACCATTTTCCATTTCTTCTCCAAAACATAGATCTCTCTCTCCCTCTCTCTCTCTCTCTCTTTCACGCATGCACACACACACACACACACACACATCTTTTTTTTAAATTCTCACAAAAAATAAAAAAAGGAAAAGAAAAAAGCTTAAAACTCCAAGCATAAGGCAGATTAAAAGTGAAATCACACTGGGAACTTCTAAGGGTATAGAGCTGAAAGCAAATAAAAAATAGGATTTCCTGGTATTTAGCAGAGTGGGTTGGAGCTAAATTATGGAATCAGTGTTTGTCTAGACCCCTGTCTCTTGAGGGGTTCCTGGGCACTGAAATTTAACCGGTATTCAACTACATTGCCCTTAACCACTCCAATGAGCTGACTTATCTTTCCTGCTGTCATGTTAAAAATATAAAGACCTGCTTACAGGATAATCGATTACAACGCTAACCATGTATAGTAGAATAAAGAACATTTCCACCTTTCCTTTCTATCAGCTCATACTTTATTATCTCAGGAAGGAAGCTAGACACAGATGATACCGTCTCAGGCAGGCCTTGGACCATCAAAAGCTCAAATACAGTTGCCTTATTTCCTATTATTCTCCCCTGATTTTTTTTTTCACTAATTTGGTACTAGCTGTAGCTACATATAGACAGACAGACAGAAAAAAAGAAAGAAAGAAAGAAAGAAAGAGAAGGAAGGAGGGGAAGGAGGGAGAAAGAAAAGAAGGAAGAAAGATTGCATAATGTTCACTCAATATTGTGAGTTTTAGGTGAAATTTTTCAATAGTAACTAAAAGCATATGAGTGAATGACTGTTAGTGAATTTTATTTCTATTCTTCATGGAAAACCAATGCAACTTTCAAATAGCCAATCTTTCTTGACTGGTTAAGTAGATATAAATAAAGTTCTCCATTCATCTGTGGAGCTTTCTACAATTCCCATCTTATATTGAGCTCTTGAGTTTTACCTCTGTGGGACCGTATTTGAACTTTAAAATCTGCCTTCTCCCAAATACAGCAGAATCCAATATAATTCAAAAACATTGAAGAAATAGTCCAGTGAAAACATTTGTTTTAATAATTGACCAGAGAAAATTTAAAGTAATATTTAAAGGAAAGTTAGAAGCTATTTATTATTAAGATGGGTGTTTATAATGATTAGGCAAAAATTAAACAGAAAAATATCTAAATGCTAAAATGAGATCCAAGTTGAATATAGGTCAATAAGATAGAGCTCTTGTATCTTTTTTCAATAACTATTATTTTAGTATGTCATAAGATCATACTTTATAGAGTTATGAAGACAAATATGCCCTAGAATACTGCTCTCAGTGATCTTCCAGTCAAAGAAAGGGAATGAGGTAAATGCCATAATATCCATGACATCCAAAAGAATGCAGCCCTATTACCTTCCCTTATTAAATGGTTGTCAAGAATATTGACTCCATATTTGTACAATGTTTAAAACTATCTGATATATAGTAGTAAACACTATACAAATATTTATTAAATCAATAAATAAATACATACAATATATGTGCCATAAGATAGGCACAGGCAAACATGAAAATTGTAGATTGATAACAAATGGTTGAAAAGATCCAGGAAGATTTCATAAAGAAGGGATATATAATGGGTGGAAAAACTGACAACAGAACTTATTAAAGTTACTAAAGCAAAAGGAAACACCATTAGTCCAGACATGAACTTGAGATAAATTTGTAAAATCATAAATAGACATAGGAGATGAGTATAGCTTGCAAGATTTGGCTTTAGAAGTGAATTAGGCAGTAGTGGAATGTAGAGGATGCTTTTGTAATATTTGTTAGTGTTGTAATATTTGGTGACACTTAAAGGGAGACAAATCCTTTTTGAAGTAATCAACCAATCTTAACCAGAGTCAAATGTGTAGCTATGTATTGATAACAAAGAACTATCATACATGACTTCAGCAATGGTTAATATTGCTGCTTTGCTATTCTTATAGGATAAATTCCTTATAAAATAAGGAATACCTATTTTATAAGAAATATTATATACTTATTTTATAAGGAAAAGCTATCAATAGTTTTTTGTTTGTTTGTTTTTTGCATTCAAATTAACATGTTTAGTCTTAAAGCTGTTGACTAAAGAACGGCCAATCTGTTTAGCCAACAGTTTCGTAGAACCATCTCCTTTCTCACTCCTTTCCACATCAAGTTCATGGAGAAACACCTAATGGAGAATAAAGGGTCAACTCTAATTTCTTCTCTTAGGGATGAATTTCTCTTTCGATGTTCTATCTCTAGCTCAGACTTTCTCTACTGGTTGACTGGGAGCTGATTGAGGGCAGAGTCCATTACATCTGTCCTTGTAGCCTCAGAATCTAGCCCAGCATCTTAGAGTAAATCCTTAACAAACTGTGGCTTAGGTTGGCTTAATTGGATTGGATTGAGTTGGGTTGGACTGGATTGGATCCAAGTGAATAAGAAGTCAAACATTTCCCCTGTTCTTATAATTTTTAAAATAATTTCTTTTTTGGGTATAGAGTGAAAAATACATAGAGTATTTTTATCAATAATATATCTTAAATGGTCCCTCTCTATCATCAGTTATTACAAGCTCCTTTGTCTATAGACTACTGTAAAGAGCCTGTATCCAACCAATTAGATTTGATTAGAAAACTAAATATAAATTCATCATGGTAGGCTGATAAATTATAATGAATGAATTCCATCAAGGGGTATTACTTAAAGTAAAACTAATTGAAAGTGAAAAGCTTTAAATAAACACTGTTTAAAAATAACTCATCATGTAGATGTTGTTAAAACCTTGTTGTATCACAAATCTAGAGATGCAGATAGCCTTCTTGAAGAAATATATGAGACTTTTGGTATAATTAGTTCACTTAAAGAGACAGAAAAAAGCGTAACTTACCATACACCAAACTGATAGAATAACTGAGTACATTTACATATTTGCATCATGGATACAGATCTTGAAGTGTAAATAATATGCCACATTGAGTTGCTAAGCAACTCTTTCTACCAGGTAGCAAAGTTTTTCCTTAAAAGGACAATCTTAGGGCGCCTGGGTGGCTCAGATGGTTAAGCGTCTGCCTTCGGCTCAGGTCATGATCCCAGGGTCCTGGGATCGAGTCCCGCATCGGGCTCCCTGCTCCTTGGGAGCCTGCTTCTCCCTCTGCTTCTCTCTCTCTCTCTCTCCCTCTCTCTCTCTGCCTCTGTCTCTCATGAATAAATAAATAAAATCTTTTTTTAAAAAAAAAAAAGGACAATCTTACAACAAAGGAATGAGCTGCAAACTCCTGATTTTTAACCAATACTGTTTAAATCCACACACTTTGAATGAATGAAAATTCTAATAGTTCCTTGTAAATGAACAGCTCGGTGTAGCTCTGTCACTTGATTCATTCATTTACTATATATAACACAATTAAAAAGTGATTTAGAGCTAAGGTAGCAAAGGGGGGAACTTTTAAATTTTATATCTTTCTAGTTATTATCTCACACAATGATTTGGAAAGTCTCGCTGAAAATCATATTTGGCCTAAAACAAAATAGACCATATTATTTGTACCTGAAGACATTTCTTAAGAGGTTTTCAGATATGTAATTCAACATAGAGTGTCTAGAATCTTCATGGTTATGCTTTCAGCTCTCATGTATTGATAAAATTTATTCTTTATGAGCTAGCTGATACTCAGGGGGAAAAAAGTGTATGTCCTTTATTCCCATTGATTCTCCTTTTGCTGTTTTCTATCTTAGTGGATAGAACTAAGGAGTATTCTGTTGAATTGTTGCAATTAAGTCATAAGACGGAAACAAAGCCTTTTTCTTCCAGACTTTATAAGACCTTGGAGACTATGAAGATAGGAGGATTGTTTTTCCAAACATAAAACAACAGGATAGGCAAGACAGAAAGGGCTACCTACCAAATGATTTTATTTATGTCACGTTCAGAAATAGACACAATTAATGTTTGCTCCAGTTAAGATAGTTACTTATCCTTGGGGTCAGGCTTCTGTGATACTGGTAAATGGTGTGTTTCTGGATGTGGATGCTGGTTACATGAGTGGGGTCAGTTTGTAAGTATTCACTAGCTATTCATTTATCCTTGGGGTATATGCTATACCTCAATAAAAAGCCCAAATCACCATAAATAAAACAACAGAAACGGGCTCATATTAGTTACAAACCACAATAGTTGTGTTGTCCCAAATCATAAGCCTGGTTAGCAGCATAACCAGCATTTTGGATCTTCTGCTTCCCTATCTTGTGATTTATTTTTTTCCCAGTCACAAGCTGTGCTAACTTCTGAGGCCCATGACAGCCTGCTGGCAGGAAGCCTGTTAACCTTTCCCTGTGAACTAACACTGTTTGCCATGTTAACAGGCGAGTTGTGTGAGGAGAAGCTGGACTTCTGTGCCCAGGACCTGAACCCCTGCCAACACGACTCCAAGTGCATCCTGATGCCAAAGGGATTTAAGTAAGTCAGAGCTTTCTGGGGCTCACAATGCAGGACGCTGTTTTTCTTCAGGGACCTGTCTTCCTCACCTTCCTTTTAGGACCTCACTTCACACCTTTGCTCGGGATGAAAGGAACATCCTCCAGTGTCAGTGGCATTTTTATAAACGTTCCTATACAGCATGGACTTTTTTTTTTTTTTTTAGTACAGGAAAGAAAATAAAAGACAGCATTTCCATTTGTTTCCTGGCTCTTCCTGGGAAGTCGTGCATGAAATAAAGTAGACTTTTACTGTGTTTACTTAAATGTATTTGAAAGCCAAATAAATTTGTAATATATACTAGGTGCTTAATTATCTGAACGTGAGTTTGTGGTAAGTAGGAAGTTTAGGTGAAAGTAACTGAGATTTTTTTGGCCAGCACCAATTCTTAACTATCCAAGGTGAGGAAGGTAGAGGGACCGACCATATGTCCCAGGATGCCGGGGGACAGTCCCAGTTTATGCTTATTGTTTCAGCATTGTTATTAATAGTACCCCTTTCACCTTACATTTGTCTTGTGTGGGATGATAGAGCAGACAGTCATTCTAGATAGAGGGCTCCCTCAAGTAAACCCAGATCGTTAAAATTACTTCTTTTTCCTCCTCAGTAATCTTCCTGAAATATGTTTGGTATCAAATTAAATTATTCCTTTGCCACAATCCTGAAATAGTTTTAAGGGTCTATCAACAGCAACTTCTCTTCTTAGAGTGGACAGTAGTTTAAGAGATCATCTGGTCCAAATTCTTCATTTTAAACATGCGGAAAACAGGACCCAGACAGGTCGGTGGCTGTCCAAAGATCTCAAGGTTATTCATTGGCAGACGTGGGAGCTGGGTTTTCTATTTCCCAGTTAGGTGATTTTTCGAAAACAGGTTACCTCTAAGACATTTTGTAGTTTATTAACATTACTGCTGGTTTGTTATAGAAGGTAAGCTGGATTCTCAGGAATGATACAATTGGGTTCAAGAGTGGAGCTGTGCTTATATCAGACAACTAGCAAATAGAATGATTTGTTCTTTTACCCAGTATTGATTGAGCACCTACCATGGGTCAGGGCATGTGGTAATACCACCATCTTATGTAGTGTTTTATAGCTACTCACATTCACATACTTTATCTTCTCAATGAAATGACCCAGGCATAATTGCCATAGGATTTAAAGAATTAAAGATTGCTTGGGTGGGGAACAGTTTTATAAGATGGGAATTGAGCTGGAACTCTAACATTTTGATAGTTGTCCACTGATTATCAGATACTCTAAGTTGAATGGGAGGTAGGGTCAGTGTCTCCAGACCTGCCTTTCAGAGATCAATCTGAATAAAATGCTTATTCTCATTTTATTTACAGAATATTTTTTTATTCACTTTGGTTTAAAATATGGTTTTAGAATATGCAAACACAGTTCTAGAATATACAAATACAGGGGTGCCTGGGTGGCTCAGTCAGTTAAGCATCCAACTCTTGGTTTCAGCTCAGGTCATGATCTCGCAGTGGTGGGATGGAGCCTGGCGTCAGGCTCTGCACTCAGCATGGAGTCTGCTTCTGATTCTCTCTCCCTCTCCCTCCCTCCCTCCCTCTTTCCTTCTCTCTCAAATAAATAAAATCTTAAAAAAATAAACAAATATAGTTCAGTACCCACTGATTCCATTTGATACCTTATTGAAAAAGAAAAGAATATCTTTGATTCTACTTTCCATTATATTTTAGTTTACAACCCTATGCAAAAACCAGAGGTCTTATTGAAATATTTATTTATACAAGATTCTGCATTGCATTTTGTTCATCCAAGTACTATACGTAAATTATTTTAACTCTTAATGTCTTTGATCTGCCCACAGTTGAATTTAGCAAAATGAAAATCCACCACTTACAAAAAAAAAAAAGAAAGGAAGGAAGGAAGGAAGGAAGAAAAAGGAGAAAGGAAAAAAAAAGGAAAAGCCACCACTTACATAACAAATATTATAATTTTTCAGAGAAATTCGTCAGGAAAGCAAGTGGTTTTCCAGAACTGCTTATCTGCATTGCACATGTCACAGGGCTTTGTGCATCATAATTACAAGATAAAGAATCCATAGGACTTAAAGGAAACTATTAAAAAAATAAGGGAGTTTGTCTTCAAAAAGACGACTCCTTAATTCAATATCTTCTCTTACCATCGATTAAATTACACACGCAGAAGTGCATCTTACTGGCTTATGGGCAAGCTGATTTGGACACCCATTATTTTCAGCAATAATTTGTGAGCTTGTTTTATAGCTGTATTAGTTTAGCAGAACGCAGGTAAAGTCACGGTGTATGCTGTTACTCTCATATTGTAAGCAACTGCACATTTTGAGAGAGGGAGTTGCAAAAAAGAAAATGGGCTTAAAACCCAAAACTATATGAAGCTGCTAAAGAAAACCTCTACTGACAAATGTTGTTTGGACAAACTGTACTGTTTCTTCAAATTCATTTTCTTATTACTAAGCTAAAAGAGCTGGTTTTACTTTTCTTGCTTTATTATATACCTCATAAATCTCTTAAATTACTTTGAGATATTTTTAGACCGTGATATGCCATAAGCAGTATTCAAGCATGCGTCTTTCTTAGTCAGCTGTTGGGCTTTTCCACCGAATAATTTATGCTTTTTGCTTTCTTCCTCACTTCTTGGCAGATAATAGAGTTGAGGGAGTGGGAGAGGTTTTATTGATAATACAAACCTTAAGGAATTCTTAATTAAATATTTTCTTCTGTTTTGAAATTTGATCTGAGGAGCAAGAGAAAGACAAAAAAAAATGGTGGTCATAACGTGACTCCAAGTTCTAATGGCTTGAAAAATAGTATTTGTTGAGAAGAGAATATAAAATAGCTCTTAGCCACTGGTGGTGAGTTTGTGGTTCTTTATCTTTTACTTTGATTTCTTTTCTCAGATAAATAATTCAGAGTGTTTCAAAGCATTTCTTCTTTCTTTTAATGCCTGGCATTTCAGTGGTTCTGCTCACATTAACATTGATGGAAGCTCTCTCCCCAGACTTTGTCCATCTATTTGAGGATGTATTTGGCCACTTAAGATCCATTTAACTTCAGATGTGTTGTTTACTTTGCTGTGTTATGATTTAGTATTAAAACCACTGGCTCTTGAGCAAGCATGCTTCTGCAGTGAGCTCATTTTATTTCCTAATTCATACATGCAGAGCTGAAAGTCTGTTCTCCTCAGAGTCTATATACCCCCATTTATTTTAATTCATCAGCCCTCCGGTAACTCTTAAATCCTTATTTTGCAGTTTTCAGAGAAAACCCTTGGTGTTCAGTAATGTCCACATTCACTTCGGCATTTTTAATTATCCTCGTTCATTTAAATCCTAATGGCTTTGAAATAGAAAACTGGAAAATTAGTCAAGACTAAACCACAAAGACTTTTATAGAATTATGAAGACTTAATAGAATTATTGTTTAAATCCTTACCATTTTTTGATCATGCATTATATATCAAACCACTATACTGAGTCTTTTACAGATAGTGTTTTATTTAATCTTTTAACAAACGCATGGAAATTATTTTGTACCGTGAGGAAGACATGAACACCTAGGAGGTTTAAGTAAAGTTAGTTAGGATTGCATAAATGTAGAGATGAAGTCAGGATACAAACCCAGTTCGTGTAACTGCAAAGTCCAAATTCTATAAAGCTAAATAAACTGTAGGTTCCTGGTTTGTTTGTTTTTCTAGAGTCACTGAGCCCTCTCTTAAACCCCAAACAGAAATGCTCATGGAAGCCCAACATGTAAAACTAATAAATCCAACAGGAGAGTGTTGTGGGAGAAAGGTGGGAAGCAGGAAGCTGCCAAAAGCCTCCTTCCCTTCTCTGGTCCCTTATCGCTCCTCAGAGCATCTTTGAAAACCACTGCACCTGCCACGCTGCTTTTTCCTCCGGCAACTATAGAGTGCTTCATCCTTCAGTGGTTAGAAATCCAGGCTCTCTTGCCAGATTGCTTGGGTTTTCTACGTGGCTGTGGCACTTACAAGTTGAATGCCCTTGGGTAAGGTCCTTAACCAGTTTGTCCTTCAGTTCCCTCATATGTCAAGTGAAATAGTGGACCCTGGAGAAGGATTCAGTGAATCCATATATGCCAAGTGGTTAGAACAGGGCATGGCACGGAGGACGCACTCCAAGAACGCCAGGTGTATATTATCTCTGGTTCTTCACCTTCAATGCGGCTGGGACCCCGTCTTCCCTTCTGCCCCTAGAGTAAACAAACAAGCTCAGAGCTGTCAGTGGGATTGACCCCAGGAATTTTTTTTTTTATCAGTTTCCCTGTCCTCCATTAGGTCAGCCCAGCTCTGACATAATGATTATCTGGATTCATTACGAATTAGGGTGTCCAATGTTGACATAAATTTTTTTTCATAAAATTGTATTTTATTCCAATACATCCGTTCTCTACGAGAAAACAAAAACATTAATTATTTTTAAAATATGTTTAATATTCTTAGTAAATTTTACAACATAGCATTTTTTGGGGGGGGTTTCCACTGTTCAAAGGAATCAGAGCAAATGAAAACAGAGGACACTATAGGCAAAAATAGTGGGGACAGAGGGAGAGAGGATGGAGGAGGGAAGGAGGGAGAGGAAGGGAAGGAAGAGGGAGGGAGGAGGGAGGCAGAAGAGCAAACATGATAGGGAGAAGGAAGGTTGGGTGGGAAGGAGGAATACAGGTGCCATTCTGTGCTCAAATTGGGATTGTGGATGCTCACTATCATCAGAGTCCTACCCATCCCTCTGACAGATCACAGTGAGAAATCATGGCATCAGTTTTCTAGGCATCCATTAATTTCAGGGCTCTATCAGTCTGTTCACGTGAGTTTTGCATTTTTTGCTTTCATTTTCACTTATTTTTATTGAAGTATAGTTGACACACAATGCTACAGTGGTTTTAGGTGTACTCAATAAGTTTGTAAAGACAGTGCCAATTTTTCTAGATGAAATGCAACTGTTTTACTTACTTTGGCTGAGTTGGGTGTGAAACTATTTATGTGCTTGCTCAAACAGGTGCGACTGCACACCAGGGTATGTGGGTGAGCACTGCGACATTGACTTTGATGACTGCCAAGATCACAAGTGTAGAAACGGAGCCCACTGCACGGATGCAGTGAACGGCTATACATGCATCTGCCCTGAAGGTTACAGGTAAAAGTAGAAACAGAGGTTTGTATTTAGAGTTCAGTCTCACAGAAAGGCTTCAACTCATCTCGGCAATTAAGTAAAAACAATGTGCTGTTGCTCTGTTTTCTTTAGTGGCCTGTTCTGTGAATTTTCTCCACCCATGGTCCTCCCTCGAACCAGCCCCTGTGATAACTTTGATTGTCAGAATGGAGCCCAGTGCATCATCAGGATAAATGAGCCCATCTGCCAGTGTTTGCCGGGCTACCAGGGAGAGAAGTGTGAAAAGTTGGTCAGCGTGAATTTTGTCAACAAAGAGTCTTATCTTCAAATTCCTTCAGCCAAGGTCCGGCCTCAAACGAACATCACCCTACAGGTAAGCTGTGCCCCCCGGAGCAAGAGCTGATTTCATCCTAAACCACCTTCAAGTTCAAATCATCAACATCCATGGTGGTTCATGAGTGATTCTTTCTTAAAGAGACAGTCACCATCCTCATAACACAAAGAAAATGCTGTGTGAAAAGCTTTAGTTATTCTTCTCTCCAACATTTGTGTTTTTCAAAACTACAGGGGAACCAGGTATTTTTATTCACTACTTGATTGTGAAACACAGAGAGAACAACAAAACATGTTTTGTGCTCTGGTGAATGGGGCAGGGGCTCTGCAAGGGGTGGGGGCTTTTCTTAGGAGACCTGAAGGTGAGGAGAGCAGCGGTGAGACCACACCTTGACAAAACATTCATCCAGTGCCTTTGAACTCTTACGCAGAACCTTTAAGAAGTGACATGAGGGCGCCTAGATGGCTCAGTCTGTTAAGCGTCTGCCTTCCGCTCAAGTCATGATCCCAGGGTCCTGGGGTTGAGCCTGCTCAGCCAGGAGTCTGCTTCTCCCTCTGTCTCTCTGTTCCTCCCCCTGGCTTTGGTTCTCTCGCTCACTCTCTTTCTCTCTCAAATAAAAAATCTTAAAAAAAAGGGGCGCCTGGGTGGCTCAGTTGGTTAAGTGACCGCCTTCGGCTCAGGTCATGATCCTGGAGTCCCGGGATCGAGTCCCACATCGGGTTCCCTGCTCAGCAGGGAGTCTGTTTCTCCCTCTGACCCTCCCCCCTCTCATGTGCTTTCTCGCTCTCTCAAATAAATAAATAAAATCTTTAAAAAAAAAAAAAAGTGACATGAATTGAACAAACTCAAATGTTATTGTAAGACTTTTCACCAAGTCACCTGTCCCTTTGAGCAAGTTAGTCAGATCCGTGCCGAAAAGGTGAGACTAGATGAGGAGTTAGGAATTCAGGACACATGGGGCAGATTGGGGCTGCATGTTTGTTTTGTTTTATTTTTTAATCTGGTAAGAAAAATATTTTAATGTATTTTGAATTCAAATGACTTTAGCAGATTTCCTATAGATGCCACCCCTTATTTGGTTTACCTGACACCCCAGTGTCATGAGGAATGGGACTCAGGAAGACAGGCAGGCTTTCTTTAAAAAGCCTGTCTCCCTCCCTTCCAACATTTGCCTCACCAGATTGTTACGAGAAGTACCTAGCAGGGTTCAGGTGTAAGTCCCAATTTTTACCAAATTGGTCCTTTAAAAGCCCAAAAAGGCCAAAAAGCAGAGTAAAACAGAGATTTTCTCCTGTTCATGCCCTCACAGTGATGGATAGGAGCAAAAAGACCGGGTAAATGAAAACCTCCAGCAGAGAAAGTTTTAGGTACGTCCCAAGGTATTTCCTCAAGTATCTGTTACTGGTTTTGTTTTTTAATTCTTTATGAACTTATCTGCATCAAAATAATTTAGGAACAGGTCACCTTTCAAGTCCTCATTTCCGTCTGCCTTGCATTGTTACTTTCTCACAGCCATAAGGGGAAAATCAGCTAAGAGTAAAAACTCTAAACTGAGCAGTCTGGCTTCTTTTTGGTGACTGTGCATCCTACTAATGTCAGGGTTACTTCCCACCAGATTGCCACAGATGAAGACAGCGGAATCCTTCTGTATAAGGGCGACAAGGACCATATTGCCGTCGAACTGTACCGGGGACGGGTCCGCGCCAGCTACGACACCGGCTCACACCCGGCTTCTGCCATTTACAGGTGAAGGTCTCTCAGTAACTGGTAGAGGTGAAAAATGGTTCAGTGAGAAGCCATGGCTCCTCTGTTATTCTGTAATGGTGAGCGGAGGGAATAATTGGGCCATAGCAGCCATTATGATAAGTGTATTACTTACGGGCCTGGCAGGAACAGATGTCATGCTCAAGTTGGATAATGGAGGAGAGATTCTCAAGGGGACTTCTTATAAAGATTGTTAGCGTACAGTAACTGGGGGGACAGTAACAAGGGATACAGCTACTCCCCCCGCCATCCTTGAAGGGGTGAGGGGGGCAGCAGTTATGGAAATCCATGCTCAGAATAGGACTTGTGTCTCTGACTGCCTGGCAGTGTGACCTTCAGTGAAGGGATGAAGTCAGTCCTCAGAGAAGGCACCGGGGTTTTAAATATCCAACCTCACTCTTCTTCTGCCCGACAAGGCCCTGCCCGGGCTCCCCTTTGACCAAATCGGATTCCAGAAAAAAAGAAATCCGCCGATTGCAATAATATAGTTTGCTCATGAGCCTCCCAGGGCCCAGAGCAGGGTGAAGACAGGTGGAGAGTAGCTCTAGAGAAGAACCTGCAAGATACCCAGCACAGTGAGTCATTTAACATTACCTTTCATGCAACGCATATTTACCGAGCACCTACTATGTGCCAGGCACGGATCCAAGCTTTAAGGAACAAAGACCTTGCTCTTAGGGAGATTACACAGAAGAAGCCAATGGATACATACAATATGTGATTGGTAATGTTATTTAATTTGTAAGTTTTCTAATAATGTAATAAGATTGATGATATTTTGAAGTTATGAAAGGAGTGGTATTCATGGGACATAAATTTTGTTGGAATGGGACATAAATTTTGCTGGAAATGTGCTTTTGGCATAAGATTAACCTTCAGAGCCCTCTGTTGGATCTCTACAACAGTTCACTATCATCTTACACCAAGTTACCTAGTTTACTTATCCACCTGTAGAAGTAACTGACACCAGTTAGAGCAAGGTCACCAAGTCATATACGGTCAGTTTCTTTTCAGGCAGGTAGCTTAAATAAACTAATCAGGCCAGTTGCTAGAGAAGAATATGTTCTCATCATTTGACTCTTGAAAAGATCTAACTTAAAAAGTTACATTGAGGTTGGTAACATAATAGGAGCCTTTGTGTCTGGAGTGAACTAAAAGCAAACTTTTGTCAAAACAGGGCCAGACTACATCCACACAGTTCTCCCTGAATGCTGCCACGGGAAAATGTGGGCTCCAGGTTTACCAGAACTCTTATTTTTCAAGGAAAGGCATAAATCTGGATTTTTTTATATAAAGTATTCATCCTTTAAGTATTGATTGACATTTTTGTTAAATACCGTATGTGGTGAACAAAATGCATCTGTAAGCCAAACATGATCGGCAACAAATTTCAGGGCATTGACTAGGACATAAAGTTGGAGAAACTGGCCTCTACATTATTGATGTATATATTGATGTGCTTCAAAAGCCTTCTCATCCTATTTGAGCCTTATAACAGTTCCAGGAAAGTAGATGCCAATTGGTGAGTCCTTTTGGTGGTGAGCTAACCCACTTGGGAATATATAGAGCATGGAAACAAACACATAATTACTGGTTTCCAAATGGAATATGAATTTCATCTCCAAATGGTGATGAATTAATGCCAACATTTTAGATATTGCTAGGCCTTAAATTATGTAGCCTCAATTTGTTTCAGTCCATCAAAAAGTTTCAGAATATTGATTTTGTGCTCCATTTTTTTTTTTTTTTTTACTTTTTTGTTCTATTATATGCAACAGAAGAGCATAGAACTCTCTGAAACCATAGTAAAGGTTCTTGAGGTTGGCTTATTAAAGTTAGTGTTCACATAAAATATACTTAAAATGTTTCTAGATAAGTTGTAGAAACCCACATGATTATATCACAATGAGAAGTTACCATAAAGAGCTTGTTTTGAGTTTATATTCTTACCATTTTTGCCTAACAAACAGTACAGCATACCATGGGATGTTTACAAAAAAAGAATAATATCACATGGCACACTTTTCATTATGAACCAGAAGTCCACTTCTCTGTTTGCAGATCATCTAATGGAGACATCTTGGTTTATGGTTTATGGCACAGAAACCAAGAAAAGTTATCACATTATTTTTAAGTAAAAGAAAAGCAGCAATTACCTAGGACTTAGGTAGAGAGATGATTGATTGATACGGATTATGTATATAAAATGTGCATATTACATATAGATATATATATAGATAGATAGAGATATATTCATACACCATTATGGAATAGAAAAAATGCTTCTTTGAAATAGAAGCTATAGAGAAAAATTAAATTATTTCAACACACTAGGAGATTTAACCTTTGACAAGTAAAAAAACATAGTGGCTAAGATATGTTTTCAGATCTAGGCTTGGCCAATTACTAGTGGATAAACTTGGAGCAGATACTTAATCTTTCTGTGACTCAGAAATCCTGTCTATAAATAATAATACAGCACATACCTGGTTAGGTCCCTCTGAGGATGACATTCCAAACTCAGCTCCATGCTCATTTCTCCATTCACATTGTCCTCATTCTCATCTATGTTATAGCAAGACAGGAAAATTTTTCTGGTATCTCTTTCTGGAGTATAGTAGAGGACTTCTAGCCTTATACCATAACACGAGAAGTACAGGTTGTTTACATTGTCTATAGAGCGCTGTTTGAAAATAACTATCCAGATTGCAAATATACTCCTTGACCTCTGAAATCCCCCTTCTGGGAATTTATGCTACAGATAGACCTGAAGATAATTGATATGTGCACATGTACTCACCCGTGGCATTGCTTGTAAAAACAAAAGTTAGGAAACAGCCCAAGTTTCCATCTAAATAAACTATGGTACATCCACACAATGGAATGTACTGTTAAAAAGTAAAGGGAAGAAGGGAGGGAGGAAGGAGGGGAAGAAGGAAGTTCTCTATGTAAGATATTGGAAGATTTTCAAGGTATATTGCTCAGTTGAAAAGGAAAAAAAGGCAAAACAGTGTCAAAGGTGGATAAATATATATATATATTTTTTATTTTTATGTATTTACATAAAGAAAAACTAGGGATAGAGAGGAAGGAGTGGGGTGGAAGCAAGATTTGTATATGAATACCACTTTACATCATTTTGATTTTTGAACCATTTGAATGTCATTAGCACTCAAAAACGAAAATTGAATAGGGGTGCCTGGGTGGCTCAGTCGGTTGAGTGGCTGCCTTCAGCTCAGGTCATGATCCCGGGGTCCTGGGATCGAGCCCTGTGCCAAGCTCCCTGCTCAGCGGAGAGCCTGCTTCTCCCTCCCCCTCTGCCTGCCTCTCTGCCTACTTGTGCTCTCTCTCTCTCTGTCAAATAAATAAATGAAATCTTTAAAAAAAAAAACAAAAACAAAAATTGAATAGAAAAGAGCAGATGCTTTAAAGACAGCCTGCCTTGATTCAGGTCTCAGCTCTGCCATCGATTCACTGCGTGCCATGAGTAAATTGCATAAGCTCTCTGGGCCTCACCTGGTAAATGGGTATAGTAAATCATAGTTCCATCTTTGTAGGATTGTAGTAAGAATTTTATGATTTGGTACACAAGAAAATATTTAGAACAACACATACCAAATAGTAAACAATGCGAGCTATTAGGATCATAAAGTTAGAATGTCCAAAATGTAGTTCATTTCCTTTGCTTCACCCAAACCCATGTCCCTGTCATTCCTAATTTCATTGAGAAGCAGCACCATCTTCTTGGGCACATAAGTGTAATGGAGTCATTCTTACTCTTTTTCTTTCCTTTACCTCCAGCTTGAAATTTGTTCCAAGTCTTAACTCTGCTCCTACTATTTTCTGGTATTTATTCAAATGCCTCTGACCTTGCTCAGGACTTACTAAAATGTGACCTCTGGTGACAGATATTACCTCTCCATCATTATAGAGAAACCCATCAATAACATGTTGCCATCAGCTTCCGATAAATTGCTTAATAATTATTATGTTTGGTTGAATTAAATGTTCGAATCTTGATGTGTTTCTGTTTTACATAACATTATTAAAAGTACACTAATGTTTTAAAAGGGAGTATTTTTACATATGCTTACACCAGAGAATTTGTTCAGTTTAATGGCATGATTTTATGTTATATAACATTGACTTTAGTGAAAACTCATTTTCCAAATTGTGCATTATTTAATGTGCTGTTGGAAAATTGCTTATGGGAATAATTTTGTGTATCAGGTGTGTCTTTTCAGTTGCCTGGTTACTCTTCAACATGGATGGAGATGGATTTTGTTTATTTTAGTAAATGAAATCTGATAAAATTAGGGGAAAATAATTCTACATTAAGTTCTATATGTTTTTTTATTTTTTTATTTTTATTTTTTAAAAGGCTTCATTTTAGATGTCAGTGTGTTAAATGAATTGATGTGAGAACCATGATTTCATGGAATTATGTCTAGAGAGAGTACTTAACACAGCTTTAAGTGTGTTTAAGAGAACCCAAGATGTAGTAATTATTCCTTCTTCCCAGTACTGAAGTAGCATGTGCACATTTTCTCATTTTATTTCTTCTATCTGACAGAAGTCCAACATTTCTTACAGACCTGCATACTGCTCACAGACCTGCTCACTGCAGGCAGTGGTGAGAAGCTATTGTTTTCCAATAACGTGCATCAAAATCACCCAAAAAGTGTGTTAAAGAACAGATGACTGGTCCACCTCTCGTTTCTGATTCAGATCTTGGATGAGCCCCCAAAGTTTTTCATTGTTACAAGTTCCCAGGTGATGCTCTGGTCAAGGGAGCACAATTTGAGAACCACTTGTAGAAAAGGAATATATTTGAGCTGTGCTCTGAGAGCCGGTGGTGTGCATCTCTTCCCATATCCAAATTCCAAGACCTCATGCTTGAGGTTGGTCTTGAAACCAGCCCTGCTGGGAATACGTCCACCACTGAGGTCCACAAATGCTATAAGTCCGGGCTCTTTTTCTTA